GGTTTAGGGTTTCCCTTACCCTCAAAGGACTCGCATTTTAAGGCTTTTGGGCCCAAAGACGCTATTATACAAGGCTTTTGGGCTATTTTGATGCTAAGGGGTTGGGGCAGTTGTTAATTTTCCATCTTCTATCTAGCAACATGGACATAGAGCCCTACCTGTAGCCCCAAGAACATTCCTTTTTCGGTCTCCTTATCATGATGACTGTATGGCTTCTTCAGGTAATTCCTGAAAGAGGTAGGCTTGTGGGGTTAAAGGTCTCCGTAGTGATACTTCTGGGGCTGCTGAAATCGATAACCCTAAACTAAATCCTAAGCCCTAAACCTGAAGCCTAAACCATAACTCTAATCAGGCTTTTCGGGGCTTGTCGAAAATCGATGCCTAGGAATGATATCTGCTCAAAAACCTCGACGGCGCACGAGCGTGATCTTCAAGATCCTTAGCGGCATGAGTAGCCCTAAGGCTCTATTTTATAGGGGTTCTCTTTCGGGGTTTCTTTGAGGGTACTATAAGGGTTCTATAGGTTTAGGGTTCAAGGCTGCGTCTACCTATGCAGTGAATGTAGTGCATACTTAGGCCTTAACCTAGTTCCCCTATACCCAACCGTTAAACGTTTTTGGGTTCTCATAATTTAGTAGTAACATGACGGTTTAACCTTTTATTTCCCTGGCTTATGAGGGAAATAAGTTAAAATTGCTACAGAGATCGAGGAGCCCCTTCAAGACGTAACTGTATGTGGTGTATGTACATGGAGCCTGTTTTTAGTGCCAAGTTGCACGCGAGTGCACTAGATGATGAGGTTGTAATCCTTGGCGACCTAAACACACGAGGTTCTCTGAGAGCGTTGAGGGGCGCATCGGAGACTTTGTGTGGCCCGTCCCACATCCTGTTGGTATCATATCGAGACACGACCTGTGGATACCATCAACATACTCGTCGTGCCGCACGGGCGAATCGCATAAAAGGATGTCACCGGGCGGTGGAACTGTCTCGACTATATGGTCGTCCCTGAGAGATGGCTTGTGCAGCCCAACAGCTCCTGGATAATGTAAGAGGTAGGTTTTGGACAAACAGGCCTTGATCATTACGCAGCTGCCCTCCAGTTAGTTTTGAACGTGTGGCTGTTCCCGCACATGCCAAAACTCCGTTATCGACTTTCATCAGCTGTTAGCCCGGAAGCACATGAGACGGTCCAGCAGGTCTGCCAGTCTGCGCCAAGCGTACCCTGGAGCGTAGATGTGCATGCCCACTATGACCGTCTCTCTCGGCATTGTCGTGACCGACTTACTGCGCTCTTCCCCTTCCGCAGAGCTCGATGTCACAGCACATGTTTCACCACCACTACATTACATGGGATCCCCGGCAACAATGCCTGTGGCTTCGTCGGAAGCTTCATCTGCTAATGCGATGGTTGCAGAACTATGAGTTGTGGTGTGCCGTTACCGCCTGGGCTACTGACGCTAGCATTCGCCATGCTTTCGTTCACTCCTAAGCTGCGCTCTTCGCATCAGTTGCAGATGCTAGACAGCATAATTGTAAGCTGCGCCGGCTAAAGCCACTCCTCAAGCGGGCCATTGTCCAAGACCGGTCGCCTATCTACACCAGGTTGCCAGTGAAGCTGCGAGCCTTTCTACGAGGGATGTCGTTGTGAAGCTGCGACCACTCCTCGGACCACCCAAGACTAGCAGCAACAGCAGATATCCTTACCGGCAGTGTGTTTCGAGGATGGCAGCATTGCCTCAAACCCAGAGGAAGCGACAGCCCGATGGATTCGTCATTTCTGTAGCCTCGAATATGGACAACCCACCACTGCCGAAGAACAGCAACAAAAAAAAATCGATGAGGTCACACTTGACTCACTTGACTATGGACAGGTCCCCTCTCGAGCTTTCCTAGAAGCTAGCCTCCGGTGTTCCCCTACGGGTAGAGCATGTGGAAATGATGGTATTCCTGCGGACCTCCTGCATCTGCATGCCAACACCGTCTCGCTCCCGATTTTCCAGTACCGCACTCAAAGCAACTTATCGGCCTTCTGAGCCTGTCCACTGGAAAAGCCGTGCCTTGCACGCCATTTGGAAACGCAAGGGGCCTGTTGATCAATGTGATTGTATCGAGTGCGGTTGGGAAAGCCTACCATGGAGCACTTCGACGGAAGACTGCGCACCTACTCGACAAGGCTGCTGGGAGCCTCCAAATTGGTAGAAGGACAGGTTAACCTGTGCAATTCGCCAATCAAGTCGTCCGCACCTTCCAAGCCTCGTGCTCCAGGCAAGGATCCTCGTGCGCCGTTGTCTTTTTTTCACCGCGTTGTGCGAACTCTGATCGTTGGTGGACCGCTGGATGATCGCCACGTAGCAGGCAGTCTGGCATGCTGTCAGAGATTCTTGATGACATCTGGTTCACAGGATGAGCTACTGATAGTTTCGCTGTTGCTGGGGGAGATAACAGGCCATGCTTTTCAGTTTCCTGTTCGCAGCAGTCTTCACTCGCATCGTCGTGCCAGTCTCTCTTCACTTGGGCTCATATGCCACTTCGCCTGGAATGAGGCATGGATGTGCCAGCTGGACACTGCCCAAATAATAGCCCGTGGGGCTACACAGGGCCCCTATTGATGTCACCTGGATGGACGACCTTGCTTTGCTTTTCCGATCTAGCACAGCAAGTGGTTTGCTGAGCGCAGTACGTCAGATGGCGTCAGTGCTCCTTGACGAATGCCTCAAGGCTATTATGCTGCCCAATCTGGGACGGGGGAAAACACAGATAGACTACTTAGGCTTCGTGCCACGGCCAGAGAGTGGTGACGAAGACTATTTGCCATGCTAAAAGAGGATGAAGATGTGGCCCGTCCAGGGGGCGCCCAACTAATGTACAACGAGGGTGCCTGTAGACCGCGCTGCTAATTTATATACTTATGGTAATGCACGATGACCTGTCGTACATTATTCTGGGGATTATGCTGTGTCATGGCGTGTGCATGTTTGGTTCGTGTGAAGTGGTCATCAGGTTTCGGCTGACTTGCCCAAGGAAAGTATCATCCCAACAACATAAAATCAAGAGGAGGGCAAGCTGACTTTGCTGTCGCAAGTTGGCGAACGGCCTTCAGTGTAAATCGGGAGCACCCACTCGAACTTTGATTTCCTCTGCTTCGAGAGAGAGACCGCGAGAGGGAGACCTGAATATATGTGCTTGTCTTGTTGGCTGCTGCAGCCATTCTTTTTCCGTCACAGCCAGCGGTAGGGGGACATCGCTGGCTAGCTCCGCCATGTGCCTTGGCGCTAATCTGGCTGCCGCTGCCGCTGCCGCTGCCGCTGCTGCGTCCGCTGCTGTCAACTGTTAGCTGTTGCTGCTGCTGAAGCCACGGCTTGTTTAGGTGCCGATTTGCCGTTATCAGACACTGCTAGCTGCGGCCTTCTCCCGACATGTGTGGTCGCGATTCGCTTCCGCCGCGCCGCGCCGACGGCGGCCTCCCAGACCGGAAGCTTCGTGTCGCTTCTGCGTGCGGTCTGCGAGATCGCACCCGCGGCTCTGCCCGTTTAGCAGCTAAGAGCTGCGCTGTACAGTGTACAGCCCTGCTGTACAAAGGGGAAAGGGTGCTCTGTGTGCCATGGCGTGATATACAGACCGGATTCGAGTTTGCGGCAGTTTGCAGTCGGTCGCTAGCAGGATTTCTTCCTTCCGTTTCCTTCCGTAGTCGGCACAGAGAGCGAGAGAAGGAGAGAGAGAGAGAGAGAGAGAAACAGAGATTCAGGGAGAGAGAGAGAGAGAGAGAAAGAGAGCCAGAGTGAGGGCGACAGAACGAGAGACGGACAACGAGGGACAGAAAGAGAGGGAAAAAAAGAGAGGTAGAGAGAAAGAGCAAGAGACAGGGCAGACAAGAGAAAAAAAGGCACAAAACATGGTAGCCGAAGCGATGCTGATGTGCAGAAGGGAGAGGCAGCCGAGACGCTCGGTTTGAGAAGGTTTGCGAAAACTGATCCAAAAAAAGCTTGATTTGGCACCGAAAGCCCGTGTTTATGTACAACCGGGGCCCTTGTGGAACGTACATTACCAAACCCCTCCGTCGTACATTTCCCGGCTGCCCGAAATGCACGATCAGAGGTAGGGCCCCAGAACTCTAGTTAGGCCCACCCAGGACCCGTCGAAACATGGCACACAACAGCTGCAGAGTTTCTGCTTGGAGTGGGCACCTCCAGCACTTTCGGGATGCTGCGATTGTTCTTCCTTGGCTTGAACTTCGATGCTTGGAACTGCCAGCTCCAGCATCGGTGTTGCCCTCTTTTGAGCGCAGTTTCGCCGTCGCCGCCAATCCGGAGTCTTGCAGGCCTTCTCAAGTTTCCAGCGTCACCCGGCTGGACTTATGTAGGGTTAGCGTCACCCGGCTGGTCTTATGTAGGGCCGACCCCAGTTTGCTTGCCTTCCCAACCTGGGCCGAGAAGGCCATAGAAGGCCTCAGTTGGAAGGTTTCGCTCTTTTCGGGGCTTGGACTCGTCAACTCTCTTGATCTGCTTGTTCCGGTCAGATCATTTGGAGCCCTTGAGGGACATTTGCAGGGATTGCGTCTTCTCAGTGACCTTGCTCGCGGCACAATCCAGCTTTGGGCGTGGCCTGCCTGCGGTTTTCATCGCACCTAGTTTTTCATGCCCTGGCATCAGCGCCATCACATCCCTCGCCCCTTTATTTCAAAACTATTGACAGTGGCATCGTCTCCTGGCCAACGTTGCCGTTTCACCTCTCTTAACTAGTGCATGCTCCAACACGGGGTCTGGACAGATTCATTGCCCGAAATTGAAAGTGAAACTGACATGGAGCCTTCGGGTAGCTGAATAGGTAGCCTTCAACCTTTTTTGGGTCTTTTGGGTTAAGGTTTCTGGGGTTTGGAAGTTCAGGGTTTAGCGGTTTAGGGGTTTCGGGTTTAGGGCATAAATGAAAAGGTTAACCTGTTGGTGGGCCAGGCCACTCAGCAACTACTTGGAGGATCATGGGGATGTAGGCCAAAAAACTGTTACAACTATAGTTAGTTGCCTTTTTTACGATTTTGTTCGTTTTTGAACCCTAATCCCTAAACCCTAAAACCATGATCCTCCAACCAAGGATCATGGTTTCCTTTGGAACGGCCAGCAACTGCGTCATCCAAGCAATTTCGAGTCTTGAAGAGTACCACGTGGCGAAGGAATCCGTGCGCCGTTTCGTCGGCCTGGCGGAGGCTATGACGTCGACGACAAGCCTCTAGACAAACCCTTAGGACATTGTTTTACCCCCTTGTTGGGCCTACGAGGATCTTGTTTGATCTTATTTGCTAGCTTTCACCTGAAGGGGCCAACTTAGGTCTGTACAATCTGCATAGCTACGAGTGTCTTTTCCGGACGCGGTACTTCGACTCTTTGCATTGGGCCATCATCGGAGTGTCCCCGCCGCTCTTGTTGCTGTTGTCCTGCTGCCGGGTAGGCCTTTGGAAAATGCTATGGGGTCTAAGGTCTAAGGTTGTGTACTTACTGTGACAGAACCTTATATGCAAATTTGAGAGGTTTCAATGGCACAACCCAGGCTGGATCTCGACTTCTGTTGCAAGTTGCTGTGGCTTTCCCCATCGAGAAGCTGTCATGATACAAGCCACCCTCGTGCTCGGTAATTTAGCGATAATAAGGAACCTCTTTGCTTCTTGGGTCCTTGGATTAGGGTTTATAGGGTTTAGTTACGGAGGAGTTTGGACAAGTGAGGCAATAGCTACATGGCCAATGTTTGTGCCAACTTCATGAAGCCACTCTCCTGTTTCCAGATGGTTCGCGGCCTCGATGGCTACAAGGCGGGTTTAGGGTTTAGGGTTTGGGGTTTGGGTTTAGAGTGGAAAGGATGAACTTGGCTTTCCGCTTGGCCACAAGGCGCCGCAATTCTGCTCTTTCAACATCGATGAGCTCTGCCGAAGCCTGTCTTCGCAAGCGATGGCTGGAATTTGCGCCTCTGTTTGCATCCTGATCGTGCCCCTGTATTGGCTGGAAATGATTCGGCGATCGCACAACTGGCAGCCTCAGTCGCGAAGACATATCATGGGTTTCCTGGTATCGGGCTATAGGCCTGCAGTAGAGTCTAGGCGGCATTTTGGGAAACCCTAAACCCTAAACCCCAAACCCTTAAGCCAACAACCGAGGAGTGGTGGGAGGTGGTTCCTTTGCTTCGCAAGGTATTGCTGCTGCAAGTGAGGGTCTTCTTCCCCCCAAGCTACTTGGTTTAGGGTTTAGGGTTTAGGGTTAGCTGAATCAGTATACTTTGCCCTTTCCGGAAAGTTAATGGCAGAACCTTGAGCTTGTTGGGCTGCTTTTTTCAAGTCCTTAGCAATAAGTTTGAACCTTTTGGCCCCTGGTGATTGAAGATGAGCGGCTAGTAGGGGACTTAGTAAACTGTTTCCCTGTCGTGGTAAAATCATCTGCTCTAGAACCGAAAGTTTATAAACTTTTTTGCTCATATCAATCATTAATCCCCTGTAGAACTGAATGTTAAACCCTAAACCCTAAACCC